TTTTAGATTATTCTACAATTGCTTTATAAATAACAGGAAAAGCGCTTCAAATGGGTGGCAATGTATTGGTTCCCTGTTATTCTTCAGGTGTTATTTATGATCTGTTCGAATGTCTAGCTCTACATCTGGAGCAGAGCGGACACGTATCGGTTCCCATGTATTTTGTATCGCCAGTGGCTGAGCACTCATTAGCCTACTCTAACATTCTGGCGGAATGGCTCACAAGTAACAAACAGTCCAGAGTTTATATACCAGAAGGTCTGACCCTTTGATCATAAAGTATAGTGAATATTATTAACAATCCATTTGTTGTCCAAACAGAGCCCTTCCCTCACGCGGCACTCGTACGCGGTGGACGACTAAAGCATTTCTCCAGTATTAGTATCGACTCATTCAACACTGAATTTAAGACCCCATGTATTGTATTCACGGGTCACCCGTCCCTACGCTTTGGTGATGTGGTCCACTTGATTGAGTTGTGGGGAACTTCACCCAATAATCTCATTGTTTTCACCGGTAATTTCATTTAAACACTATTCAAATTCTTATATTAATTCATTTTACTGTTGTTTCAGAGCCCGACTTTCCTTATATGGAAGCCCTGGCCCCATACCAGCCCTTAGCTATGCGTGTGGTTTACTGTCCAATCGACACGAGTCTCAACTTTTCTCAGGCAAACAAATTACTGCGAGATTTAAAGCCAAAGAATCTGATAATCCCTCAAAGCTATACCACTCCACCACCACTTCTGAAACATCGGACAGATTTAGTGATCGATTGCGAGTCCACTGTCTTTTCATACAAACGAAATAATGTCATAAAACTGCCGATTAAGAGATGCTTTGAACGGATTGACATCGAATCAGATGTAAACACATTTTGTTTATGAATTGATTTTGTAAATAATTGTTTGACATATGATTGTGTGTTTAGTTGGCGTCCCACTTGAATCCAGTGGAGGTGCGGTCTGGTGTGAGTATAGCCACAGTGACGGGCTCTCTGTTGGCCAAAGACAACAAATTCAAACTTCAAAAGCTCACCAAATCTC